GGGGCAAAGCCGCAAGGGACCTATGCTCACCAAGCGCATGGCATCCCTCGTCATCTCTTGGCACAGTTGAGACGACAGGCGGCTCAGAGCGCAGTTGGTTCAGGCCCTGGTCGTTCCTCACGCCGTCCATTGCAGCGGGTCTTGGGCGGCGTGATCCTGCTAAAGTCCTCCGGCGTGAACACTTGGCGGCTTGGTTGAAGATGTGGCGAGAGCATCCTGATCTGCATGCTCGAATTGCTCTAAGTTGGGGCAAGATGTTATCTCGGTTGCGATTGGCTGGAACTCGACGGTGGAGGATCGTCAAGGGCCCTATTGGCGCTACGGCAGCCACGCTCATGGACATTGGTTGGGCCCCGCACAGCCCGATGAGTGGGGAATCCGAGTCTCATGTTTGGGCCATCCCTTCCTGCGCTGATGAGGCCTTTACTGACTTCAGCCCCGACTTCACGGACTTGCTGGGTGATGTGGAAGCTACGGTGAATTACCTGCTGTGGACGGCCGCTGGGCATCACGAAGCGGGCGAAGATTTGGCTAGTGGTGCAGATATGATGCATATCCATCCTGAACTGGATCGGCTTGCTGACGTCAACGGCGAGGACCTGGTGGCGCTCAACCTCGTGGTGGTGAGCGGCGGCCAATGGCCTCGCCTGAGGCTGAGGGATGCAGGCTACGTCGTACCCAGCCTGTGTCCTCGGTGCCACGAGAAACCAGAGTCATTGTTCCACAGAGTGTGGGAATGTTCTGCGAACACCCGGCATAAGGATTTCGACGATTCCCAGCATTTGTATCCTGAGGCACAGGCACAGCATGAGGCGTATCCTGGATGCTGGCTTCGAGGCGTGCCTGGAGTGAGTGAGACCGTGCCCACCTTCGCTCCTCTTCCCCCCACGGTTGTTGATTTTGGATCATTCGACCTGATTCCACGCGACGCCGAAGGTTTCGTGACGATCTTCGGTGACGGGTCGGGGGGACGTTTCTCGAGCGACCCTCGGCGTCGCAGGGTCGGGGCGGGGATCATAGGCCTCACTCCTGTCGGTTGTTCCTGGGAGCCCTCCGCGGGACGTGGGTCCACGCTTGAGGGCAGAAGGCAGTCCGTGCCCCGAGCGGAGCTCCTGGCTTTCCTCATGGCTCTTAGAGCGTCTTCTTGTAATTTGCGCTTTGTCACCGATCACAGACCGTTGGTGGATACTTGGGGCAGAATTCAGGGAGTTGGTGAGTCGTGTTGGACTTTGGGTTCGAACGCTGATCTCTGGTCCGATATCCTGAACGCTGTCGCTTCCCGCGGACCTGGAGTGATCGATATTGTTTGGACGCCTTCTCATGTAGAGCTCGATCAGTTGCCTGTTCCGAATGTGCAGCAGGTTTTTCATATGTCTGGTAATGAATCAGCGGACTCGCTCGCTGGATTCATGGCCGAGGTTGCGTGGTCTAAGTATGTTGTTTCCCCTGTCCCCAGCACTGACGAGCGGGATGTTATGGCCTCGTTGATCCGTCGGCGTGCGCGGAAAGCCCTTGCGCGTTGCATCCTGGCGGATCCATGGATCGCGGAATGGCGGCCCCCCAGTAGAGGCGAGGCTGCGCTCCCGAGGCTCGCTCGCTCGCTTCGGGACTCGCCTCACGTGTGGGCCCGTGCGGGCCCGAAATTTTGGTGCAGGAGGTGCGGTTTGCTCGCCAACCAGGACTCGATGTTCCAGGTTTGTGAATCTCCCTGCAGGGGCGGTGGAACTCATGAGTTCTCGCCCTATTCTGGCCCGCGGGTTGTGGGGGGGAACCTTCCATGCGACCCATCGGTTCCATTTCTGGCGGAAGTATTTGCTGATTTTCTGCACCCAATGTGGGAAGACGTGCACGTCGGATGCACGGCAGCTTGTCCCTCGATGCGAGCCCACGGCTAAGGGCAGACAGAACCTGGCCCGCATCGATCGAGGCGAATACCCACACCCAGGAGGCCCCCCCAAAGCGGTGAGGGAGGCCCTGGGTTCCTGATCTTGTAAGTTTCTGCACTTGCATTCTGGGCACTGTTCTTTGACCTACGTTGTCATTTACCCCAATGTTCCCAATGTTCCCTTCTCCTCTTCCTCCTCCTCCTCCTCGTCCTCGTCCTCCTCAGATGCTCCAAGCGGCCCCGAGACCGCTCCAGGACGCCTCGAAATAGCCACAAAACCTACCAAGCCTCCCTCGCTGTTTGATTACGCGTGCCTCTTCCGCTCTCCCCCCGTCAACTCTCATGGGCATCGTTTCTGGATTGGCTGGTGGGGATACGCGAAGCGCCAAACATTAATTCGAGCAGCACCCGACGCCATCTACTCGTACCCCATCTAAGAGGCCTAGAGTTGAGGGACACGCCCGAGACAAAGAATTTTGGGTCGAGCATGTCTCCCTACAGGCGGATTCTGGACGAAACCTAAGAAATAATCAAAATGAAACTGCCCCGACATTGTAACACATATCCATAAAATCGTCCCCAGACGAATTGTCTTATACTATTATTTGAACATTCCTCCTGTAGAGGGACAGGCCCGACTGACAATTGATTCCAGCAGTTGAGCAGGGACCGACCGTCCTGGCATCCCTATAGTCCTACCACGAAATGTTCTCAAAACCCAAAAATGCTCTCATAACAAAATCAAGGTTCTCAGAACATGAACCCGATGTGTTCAACCAGGACAGTCCCAACCAAAAAAATGTTCAAAGAACAGGTCGTGCAAACCACAACAAGTTCTTAGAACACTGCTTGGTAGGACTGTAGGCACGCCGCGACGCATCGCCACTGCTTGAAGCAACGCCCGACGCCTCCCTCCCGGGCCCCCCCCCCCCCCTCGGGGGAGGGACGACAAATAACAAATAGCCAAGAAGTACCCCAAACTTGTCAAAACAAATCATAAATTCGTCCTCTGGCTATTTTCGTATACTCTTTGTTTGGAATATTCCTCCTGTAGAGGGACACGCCCGACGCAATTGATTCTGGCAGCGCCCGACGCCTCCCTCCCGGGGCCCGCCCCCCGCCCCCCCAGGCGGAGGGCCGGCCGAGCCGACGCCGGCCCTCCTCCCTGGCGCTCGCCGCCCTCGCGGGGCACCTCCGGAAGGGGCGGCCCCTCGCCGCCAGGGAGGATCTCTTCTCCTCGTCCTCCAGCTCCTCCTCCTCGTCCTCCTCCTCCTCCTCGTCCTCCTCCTCCTCTCGTCCTCCTCCTCCTCCTCGTCCTCCTCCTCCTCCTCCTTCTCCTCCTCCTCGTTCTCCTCCTGCTCCTCCTCCTCCTCCTCCTCCTCCTCCTCCTCCTCTTCCTCCTCCTCCTCCTCCTCCTCGTCCTCGTCCTCCTCGTCCTCGTCCTGGCCCAAGGTGCCCTTCGCGCCGTTCTGGAGCCCCCAGGGCCCCGTGCGGCGTTCTCGGGAGGCCTCGGTGGCCCCCTCGGCAGTCCTGGGGGCACCATGGGCCAGGGGCAGTTCTGGGCAGCACCCGAGGCAGCGGGCCAGGAGGATCCCCTGGAGGGTCCGGAGGCGGATCTTGAACGGACTCTTGGGAGGAGCGGTGCACGTCGTTCGTTTCTAAGTGTGCTCCCTTTTAACTGTGCTCGTTCCTGATTCTTCCTGGCGCCCCAGTGGCCAGGAAGAGGCCCAGGACAGAACGATTAGAGATGAAAGGATCTTGGCCACCCAAAAAGGTCAAAGAACTCTCGAGGGATTAGAAATGAACAAAATGTGCCTGGTCACGGCGCCGGAGCTCTCTCATCCGGGGGGCTCCCCCGTGGCGCGGACGGGCCCACCGTGGCCCGAGCGCCCCCGGGGAGACCTGGAGCATCGAGCCCCGGTGCTCCCTCTCGCGCCCTCCCCGTCCTCGGCGTGGGCTCCCGGGAGGAGCGAGGGAGCCGCCGCCGTCTCGGCGGTCCCTCCTCCGAGAGGTGGCGGGTCCAGTTTGGAGTCCCGAAGCGGTGGGGTGACAGACCGCGCGGTGACCTCGAAACCCCCCAAGACCTCACCGCACGGTCCGTCACCGCACGGTCTTGGGACCCTGGAGGCCCCTGTCGCCCGAGACATCCTCGGAGAAGGGCTCGAGTCCCAAAACCGCGCGGTGACCCCGACTCCCCACCGACTCACCGCACGGTGTGGTCACCACACTGTTTGGGTGCCCCCGATCCAGGGAGGGAGGTATCGGGGGCCTGGGGCTGAGCCCCGGGAGGGGTCTGGAGGCGGCTCTTGAACGGATTTCGGGAGGAGCGAGGGAACCGCCGTCGTTTCGGCGGGCCCTCCTGCAACCCTACTGATGACTACTCTCGTACGCTCCTCGCCTTGCCTCCTCCTCTCCCCTCCTTTCCCCCTGTGCCCTCGTCCGCTTCCACTCCCGGCTCCCCCCCTCACTCCAGTTATCCCTCACGTTCATGTTCTATCCTCCGACAATCGCCACTCCATCCAGCGCGCGCGACTTTTGGAAACGTACCCGCCCTCATCACGACACTTGCGCGGCAAATGCGGATCCTGGCGGCAGTGCCAGTAGCAGTCCCGGCAAAGGGGGGCACGGGACGCAATACGATACAACAAAGGGAGGGGACAGCAACGGCAAGACTACCATAGCATGCCTCTTTGTCCTGCAGCCTGGACAAGGTGGCAAACTCGTGAATGCTGGGTGGACCAGGCACGGCCTGCGACCAATTTCAGCTGGCAGCGCTGGTGGCCACTGGTGAAGAAAGTGATTGCGTGCAGACGGGCGCAGCTGTCATGTACAGCCAGGGCGCCGAGCTGCGGGGAGCAGACGCTGCTACGGGCAAGGGTGGTGAACGTGCAACAGGGACCAATATGTTTCGAACTGGTTCCGATGAGAATTCTAAGACTCGAGCGAGCCATGCAGCATGGATGCATGGGGTGGGACCAAGCTGGGAATGAATGAAGGGCAAGGTGTACGGTAGAGGGGCCAAGGAAGTCATGGCCAATGTCTGAATTGTTGTCGGGCGACTTCGTGCCCGACTGCCGCTCAACGTGCTCCAGGATATTAAGGCGGCGCGATACGATCACGCGGTCGTCCGCTTTCCCCTGACCTTGGCCATGTATTTCTCGGGGACGCCCATCTTCAGCATCTCCTCGATCTTGCTGACCTCAGAGACATCCCTTCGATTCAGGCCGCCTCACGATCTGGTCAGAAACCCAACCAAGCAGGCACGACCCATCCCAAAGCACTGACTACTCCGTCGGGGTCGATGAGGCGAAACTGGCTTGGCCAGAGATGGTCCAAGTACACGTTATATACAAACGACCAAAGTCTGACCATAACATGGGTGTGAACATATCGGCATACACGAACGTTTCGTCACTGCCTGGTTCTCACCTTTCTCGTCCCGTGCAACTCCTCATATTCCTGCAGATGGTATGTGTATGCGTATACATACAATGTACACACACATGTGTGTATGTATGTATGATTGTAAGGAAGAAAGTACGTAAGTAAGTAAGTAAGTACATACATAAGTAAGTAAGTAAGTACGTAAGTGTGTAGGAACACATGCATGTATGTATGTGTGCATGCATGTGTGTATGCATGCATGTGTATGTATGTATGTATGCATGTATGTATGTATGCATGCATGCATGTCTGTATATATGTATGTATGTATGTTTGCATGTATGTATGTGTGTATGTATGTATGTATTGATGGATGGATGGATGGATGGATGTATGTATGTCTGTATGTATGTATGTATGTATGTATGTATGTATGTATGTGTATATATATATACATATATATATATATATATATATATATTCCTGCTGCTGCCTCCGCTGCACCTGCCGACCGGCCCCGCCATGGGCGGAATGGAACGAACTGAGCACGCCGAGGCAACCACCACCTAGGCAACCAAACGCGAACCCTGACCCGGGAGGCTTTCGTCGGAAATCTTAAAAAAGATTAAGCCCCATTTGGGAGCTGTTACGCCGGGGTGGGCCTCGGATTAAGCAGGATTAAACCAAATGAAGCGAGATTAAGCGGGATTAAACCGGACTAAACGGGATTAAGCCGGATTAAGCGGGATTAAGCTGGATTAAGCCAGATTTCGGACCAGGGCAAAAACAGAATTTGACCTCCCTGGAGTTGCATCCGAATAACTCTGCAGGTCAGATACATAAATTAACAGCTGGTGTTCACACTTTGAAGGATGTCTGCTGCCAGGCGAACTCCAGCAAGGGCGTCCGATGCCCCCGGGTCGATTGGGCCCGTGGACTTAGGGTTCGCAAGTGGCCGCAGAACACAATCGTCACTCTCCGTCACGGACCGGTCCGTCGAGACCGATAACTTCCGAATCCCGATCGACCCCGACACTGGTGCGAGGCAAGGATTTCTTATTTATACGTGCCCACCGCCTCGGGAACCGACGCCTTGGCACCCCAGGATGCGCTGGATATCGGTACACATTGGCCACAGGGGGCCCGAATATATCCACATCCACCGCCTGCCGAGGTCCTCGCAAGCAGATAGCCCAGACGGCGGTTCTGGATCAATTAGGAAACCGATTTCTGACCACACCCACTTCCCGAGGTGCCTTGCGAAAAGCGGTTTCCAGAGGTGGAGGTGGGCAGTTTCCCCGCCCCAGGGGAAGGAAAAACTACCCACCTCCACCCCGAGGGCCTATCATAGAATCGAGGATCCACAGGTGGATGTGGCCAGAAATCGGCCTTCGATCGATACCCGCCTCGGAACCGAGGCAGCCGACCGATGCCTCCCCTGCCTCGCCCCCCCGTCCCTGCCGACGCTCTGCTGCTGCCCGCTGCCACCTCCACGTGCCCCGGCCCCAGCCGCCCCCGCCAAGGGCGGAGCGCAAGGCACGGAAGACGTCGGCGCAGTCACCATCTGGGCGAGCAAGCAGGAACCCAACCCCTGCAAGACAGGTACTCCAGATTTCGTGATAAAGGGAGGGGGGTCTCATTTCGGGGGGGGGTCTCTTCCAGGCTATCTTGGAGGGCCTGGGGGGCCTGGGGACGATGTTTTGGAGGGTTCTCCCACGGGGGTGGTCTGAAATGTCTTGTCTTGGAGGGTCCAGACCCCCTCCCTTTTATTACGAAATCTGGAGTACCCGTGAAACCTTTCTGTTGATCAGCGGCGAGATGGATCCAGCAGACGGTCGAACGAGCGGAGGGGCGCGTCCGAGGCGGATCGGGCAGAAGGGCAGGGGAAGGCAGGAGGGAAAGGGGTGAGGGCCGCGGGACGCTCAGAGCATACTCAGAACGTGAAAAGCTCCGGGATGCACCAAAGGCAGGCTGACGCCTTCGATGCTGTCAGGGCGGGGGCGGGTCAGGACCCCAAATACGGCGTGAGGATGATGAGTCGTGCGAAGGTCAGCGTGGAGTTCCAGCAAAGGTACGACCAAACGTGTCGCCAAAACGCAGTCCAGGGATTGGAACCACAAGCAACCAAGGGCAGCAAGTAGCTTCGGTCACATCCGTTACGCTAAACGGCGGCCATGCTCTGTGCCAGGTGGATGAAATCGGCCAAAGGACCGGCGAGAGAAATTCAAGGAGCCAACACAGTGGCCGCGTGTGTCTGCGTGCGTGCACGACCCGCAGAGACCAGGGAGGTGAACACGGCACAGAGAGAGAGAGAGAGAAAGAGAGAGAGCGGCCGCCACTCGGCAGCCGCCTCTGGGTCCTGGAGCGGTCCTGGATGATGACTTCGCCGTGTTCCACAGTGGAACAGGACAGTGAGCGACGATCAAAGCCGTGTCTTGCGCGAGATGACGTATCGACCACACGCAAGAGCGACCCTGGGTAAGAGTGACCTTTGGTGCGCGGTTTTTGGGGGACCGCGGGGGGACCAACCACAGGCGCGCAAGACGCTACTATCGCATCCCGTTCCCCGATCGTGGCACCCCAATGTGCCCGCACCAAAGGTCACTCCGGCGAAAGGTCACTCTTACGTCTAGTCGAACGTAGCGACCTTACGCGGTGGCTTACGCGGGCCGCCGGCGCGGCACGACGAGGGCGCGTACGCACGACCTGACGCGGGCAGCTCACGCGCCAATGTTACGGCGCAGTTGGACCTGTTCTTCCCAACCATCCTGCGGTGTTGGGTCCTCGCTTTGAAGAGAGCAGTGCCCCGCGTTCCTCCTTCCTGTCTCCTCCCCCTCCCGCCCCTTCCTCCTCCGATCCCTGCCTCTGCCCTCCGAACCATTCAACCATTTTGGCGCGCCCTTCGCACGCTTCATGGCCCCATAGGGAGCCCCACCGAAGGCCAAGTGTCAGCGTTCGCATACGCCCACCGCACCAACTTCGGAACACCCCTAGCACGTTTCGTGGCCCCTTAGGGAGCCCCACCAAAGGCCCAAATGCCAGCGTTCGCATGCGCCCACCGCACCCATTTTGGCGCACCCCTCACACGTTTCGTGGCCCCACAGAGAGCCCCACCGAAGGCCCAAATGCCAGCGTTCGCATGCGCCCACCGCGCCCATTTTGGCACACACCCTCACACGTTTCGGGGCCCCAGAGGGAGCGCCACCGAAGGCCCAAATGCCAGCGTTCGAGCCCACTGCACCCGCTGTGGCCCCAGAGGGAGCCCCACCAGAGGACCACATGCCAGAGTTCGCGCCCACCGCACCCATTTTGGCACACCCCTCACACGTTTCGTGACCCCATAGGGAGCCCCACCAAAGGCCCCAGTGGCTGCGTTCGCATGCGCCAACCGCATCCATTTTGGCACACCCCTCACACGATTCGTAGCCCCAAAGGAAGCCCCGCCGAAGGCCCAAATGCCAGCGTTCGCATGCGCCCACCGCACCCTTTTTGGCACACCCCTCATACGTTTCATGGCCACCCAGGGAGCTCTACCGAAAGCCCAACTGCCAGCGTTCGCATGCGCCCACCGCACCAATTTTGGCGCACCCCTCACACGTTTCGTGGCCCCATAGGCAGCCCCACCGATGGCCCAAATGCCAGCGCTCGCATGCGCCCACCGCACACATTTTGGCACATCCCTCACATGGTTCGTGGCCATATAGCGAGCCCCACCGAAGGCCAAAATGCCAGCGTTCGCATGCACCCACCGCACCCGTTTTGCATTACCTTTCACACGTTTCCGGGCCCCATAGCGGGCCTTACCGAAGGCTTAAATGCCAGCGTTCGCATGCGCCCACCGCATTCATTTTGGCACACACACACACAAACACAAACACACACACACACACCTCACATGTTTCGCGGCCTCATAGGGAGCCCCACCGAAGGCCCAAATGCCAGCGTTCGCATGCGCCCACCGTATTCATTTTGGGACACCCGACGCACGTTTCGTGGCCCCATGGGAAGCCCCACCGAAGGCCCAAATGCCAGCGTTCGCATCCGCCCACCGCGCCCATTTTGGCACACCCCTCACACGTTTCATGGCCACCCAGGGAGCTCTACCGAAAGCCCAACTGCCAGCGTTCGCATGCGTCCACCGCACCAATTTTGGCGCACCCCTCACACGTTTCGTGGCCCCATAGGCAGCCCCACCGATGGCCCAAATGCCAGCGCTCGCATGCGCCCACCGCACACATTTTGGCACACCCCTCGCACGTTTCGTGGCCATATAGCGAGCCCAACCGAAGGCCAAAATGCCAGCGTTCGCATGCACCCACCGCATCCGTTGTGGCATACCCTTCACACGCTTCCGGGCCCCATAGCGAGCCTTACCGAAGGCTTCAATGCCAGCGTTTGCATGCGCCCACCGCACCCATTTTGGCACACACAAACACACACACACACAAACACACACACACACACACCTCACATGTTTCGTGGCCTCATAGGGAGCCCCACCGAAGGCCCAAATGCCAGCGTTCGCATGCGCCCACCGTATTCATTCTGGGACACCCGACGCACGTTTCGTGGCCCCATGGGAAGCCCCACCGAAGGCCCAAATGCCAGCGTTCGCATGCGCCCACAGCACCCATTTTCGCACACACCCCTCACACGTTTCATGGCCACCCAGGGAGCTCTACCGAAAGCCCAACTGCCAGCGTTCGCATGCGCCCACCGCACCCATTTTGGGACACCCCTTCACGCGTTTGGTAGCCCCTCAGGGAGCTCCACCGAGTGCGGTGAATGCAGCGACGGGTGCTCACACCTGCAGAT